ATAAATGGTAACCTAACAACAAAATGTTTTTGATAAATGTAACGGCGTACTTTTCAGTCACCAATGTCCATTTCTTATGTAGCAATGAACCCTCATAGCTTGTCTTTAGGGTTTATGTCTCTTAGTTAATACACAAGATCACTACGTATACCACAAATTTCTAAAAATGAGACAAGCTATTGACAAAGAAGATGATAACAAGAATAGATATGGGTTACCCCTTATCCAAGATATTCGACTTTTAGATTTAAAACTCGAATTTTAACTGCGCTCAGATGACTTCTATAAAAAAAAAACTGCACTTGTTATGGATCTGGTGTATAGTTCATGAGTCTGTAGCAATACTGTCACCCAGTCTCCTCGCAAACAGTGCACATACATGTGCCCACAAGACGAGTTAGCCTTGATCTACACACGTGCGATGAGATATTGTCAAACGCATCTAGCGAGCTCGGAGAAACACGTTTGTTTTGCCGAGAAGTTACGATTGCAGGTGTTGTACAATGCATATAACCATCCTGTATTATTTAAATAAACAGAGAAAAAACACCAACACACAATAAATGATTAACATTCAAATCAGAAGAAAATATATGACAATTAATAAACAATAATCATGAAAGTAATATACATGTAGTTGATTGAAAGATTTATCAATCTAAGAATGACCTATATTTTCGTGAAAAAGACTGAGGAGGCAGCTAGCGTAGGAATATGAATATTTTTTATTTGCATTTCGTGTGGAAAAGTGATTTTCTTAAACTCTTTTAACGTTAATTTTGGTTTCTTTAACGTATCACATACACACTATCATTCCAATCATTTGCAGTAATGTTGTATATTTACTTATCATGATTGAACTATATTTTGTCGGAGCAATTGCGTGAAGCGTACCTGACAACAGTAATATGTCTTGAATAGTTAGTAAGCACTGATCGAATATATTAAAAAGAATTTCAACAGTTTTGTTTAAAGTCATCATTTCGAAAGTTCTGTGGTTGATACAATGACCGTGTCAACTACATGTTCAGTCGAATGATGACTGGATTTTCATACAAATTGTTAAGTTTTTATTTATACACTGTCTACGCTTTTCTTCCGCTTTTCCAGTTCTTGACAAAGGAGCACACGGTGGACAACTCTGATTCAAATTAAATCTTTGTTACGCTCCGAAATTCGGATCGTCTCTGCATTTGTACAGCGGCCATAAGAATTTTGAAGCATAACAATATGAATTTAATCAGATTGAAAGGTGGATATCATTGGTCAACAGGGAAAATTTACTCCTCCATGGTACCTGATCCCGTCCCTGATGTTTTTAGAGGTTCATATTTGCTCTTCCCCTAATTCGATTTCATTAAAAGAAAATTTTTACGTGATTATTGTTTGTCATCTTCATATTTTATTCAAGAATTTTTTTTAACTAAAATACGGTATTTGTTATTAAAGCAATCTTTATTGCAAACCCGAGTTCATTCAACTTGGAATTTTGTCAGCAGAATCCATTTATACAATTATTATTTGAAAATCTGTTCCTTCATAATCCTACAAATTTCCTTGTTAAGGAAATGTACGATTGCAGTAACATAATTTTAATTAACTTTATTTATAAAACTAAGATCGTTTAAGATATTATTACTTTCAAAAACTATTAAAAATGTCCCATCGAAGACACTTGTGCCTTATAGAGAGAGAGAGAGAGAGAAGTACATGGGTGTATATTCTCTTGATAAGAGTGAGTGGATGGGTTATCCTTCTTATCATTCCCTCTGCTGATAATGTGTTTTCCCGTAAAATAGGATAAGTACGGTTATGATCTTGGAGTACTTATGTATTTCTGACGTTCAAACACGTGGCCCTTTCAAAGATCGGTATTTTTTTATGATTTTAATTTGAAGTTAAAGTTTTTTTAAAACGTTTTTTAAGATATAATCTCACAAAACAGAATAGAGACGCATTCAAGAGGATACATCTGCCAAAAAATAAACAATTAAGTTTCTTAAAGTTTGTTTTAATTTTGCATAGTTATGAATTTTATAATATTCAAAAATACATGTTTATACAACAATTTTTTTTTTGTAAGAAAGGTAGCTTGTTAAATTTGTAAAAGAGTTTTGATATCCAGATTAACTTATCATTAATGTTATATGCCCAGTTCTAAGATGTAGCTATACATATAAATACAAGGAATAGCAATTAAAAAAAATAAATTTCAAAATAGAATCTGAAAAAAAAACGTATTTAAAACTTGTCTAATATACATGTATTTTCAAAAATAAATCTATGCCAAAGATAAAATATATATATATTTTGGTTACCGACATCTTTCATGAAATAAGTAGAAATTGAACAACAATCAAGTTCAAAGTTCATTGAAACAATACAGAATGGGAGCAGAGCAAAATCGGGCCTCTTACAACATCAGAGGTGGGATTAGGTGCCATGACGGAGTAAACATCCCCTGTCAACAAGTCACACCAGCCTGCGTTCCTTGCATTGTCATGATCGGGAAAATCCGTAGACAATTAATTAAATAATATATAGCACCTGGTTTCAGCTCTGTGGATCTTGTTGACTCTGGCCATGGGTGTAATACAAATGCATTGGTTAAATTGGCATTTGATAATGATCACAATGTAACGGTGTCATATTATAGTGGAAATATAAATAAGTCTGTCGTAAGGTTCGACATCTTCAACTATTACTCAGATGAACACTTGTTAATGAAATTGAATATGGGGCTACCAAGGAAATGCCCTGTAAATTATAATAACAAATAATTATTAGTATAAAATAATCTGTATCGGTAACGTTCGGCAGTAAACTGATACGCTGCATAAAGGGAGTTAACTGTACATGAATAAAACACAATCATTTCTCCCTTTCAGTGTTATGACTTGAAAAATAATAAAGCATTTATATAACATACGTAACAGTAATAGTCTAAAAAAACTTCTTTTAGCATTGTCATAAAATATATAAAAACATTAATAAGATAAAATATACCGATCTATGAGGCTAAGCCACTCACATTTATCATCGTTATCATAGTCAGTAATGTTGCTCACAATATGTCCAAATCATAAAATTACAAATTATAATAATTTACATTAGAAAATATATCATCATAAATATATTCACATATAATTATTAAGAAATACAAAAAAAAACTGTTGTCAATTAAACATTCTCTCACAAATAAGATTTTTACTTTACAAGTGCTAGGGAATAATCTTTGGCAAAATTACAAAGTCTAACTTTACGGTTAAATCAAATATTAGAAGTCATATTAGAATTAGTTTTCAATATACATGTTAGTTTATTTTAACGGAGAGAAATATTGTCTCGTCAATGTCAAAAGTCATAAAATACACAGCTTGGAACCCTCTCTGGTCAAAGACTGGACAAAGGATTGCCATATGTAACAAACAACAGGGATTGGAGGAGAAAACATTGAATCAATAAAACATGATCTTACAAAGTCAAAACCAAACAAAATTAATAACAATGCATTTATTTACAAATTATAAGCATATAAAATATATAGTAGTAATTAATAGATTTATCAAATAAATTCATAAATCTAACATAAATCTAACAGATTTCACAAAATATAGTACCATCCAATTAGAGTAAAGAAACCTTCAAGGCATTACAAGTGAGTGTTGAATAAGGAATAAATGAATACTTCTGAAGTATTTTTAAATTCAGTTTAGATTGCCTGGGGGGTAAAAAAGACCACAACAAATTTTCTAACACAAACCTTCAAGTTTTGTAAGTTATAGACAACACAATTCAACTTGACTCTTAACGAAACATTATTTCTACATGATACATGTATAGTGTACCTTGTAAATCTATGGATAGGAGCTATAGAGTATGCTTACCCAATGTTCATTTTTATTAATACTTAACTAGGTGCTTTAACTAATTCTGGATTTTAAAAAAAAGTTGTATGCTCAGCAGTTGAGAATTAACATTCATTTTCAATTACATACTTTTTCCAAGAGTATTCACTGTAATTAGTTACTTTAAATCCTCTTTCTTTAACCCACACTAAAATAATAACAGCAATGACGGAAACATGACGGGATTCCTTTACAACAATTTACTTGAGAAGTGGTGTAAATCAGATGTAGAATCTTAAAACTCCAGAAAACTCTCATGAAATTTAAAACTACAAAATTAAAATCGAAATAAATAACACCAGAACGTACTACGTCTGCTCCATAGTTGGATATTTTTGTAGAAGTTTATGGGGCTATTGCAGATGCATCAAACTGCATTGTCTGTGGATTCTTCTCCTTTCACCTTATTATGCCAAGGATAATCAGAATCCGGCAGGTATGAATTATTGATAGCGGATTCTTACTCCTAAATGGCACCTGATCCCATCTCTTATGTTTTCTCAGGTCTGAGTTGCCTGCTTCTGATTTGTATCGTTTCAAACGACTTTTGGGCATGATCACTGTTCGTCAGCTTCATATTCCATTTCTCTCTTTTCCAATTTGTAGTCTGCTCTTGTTGATTTTGTTTGCGTTTGTTTCTAGTAAACTTTTTTCAGAAATAAAGTTTTGCTAGTAATTGTTATATCTAACCTTCAAATATCTACAGAAGTTTTTAAAAAAGAAATATTCTATTTATTTAAAACAATAGCAATAATCAAATACATTCAAATTTCATATGATTCATATATATAATACCACATGCCAAGGAATGTTGCCGAAACATAGGGCCAGTTATTCTGATTACCAGAGTAGCCGATTCACCAAAAGTTAACGTTGGTTAACCCAGAATATTTTACCACTTTTATGATATAATTATATACAAAACTTTAATATACTAATGCAAAATAGATTAAGTTTGCATACTTATTTTACCTCTACGTGATCTCTAAATAACGCTGTGCTCATTACTCTATATAATTCAATTCCATCCTGATAAAAACAAGTGATAACAACAAAGATAAGTTCACATTTCATCTGAGGATAAAAATTCCGCTAATAAAGCTAGAAAAGCTGACCGGTGTATCTGGCAAATCTTCCAAAAGTTTCTTTCAACACGCTGCACATAGAAATTGATTGTAAAAATATGCGAGGAAAGTTACTTTTCTGTTTTGTTGCCTTGTTTGTGCTTGGACTATGTCAGTCTTCGATTGATCTGCGAACGTCGTCTGGACAGTTTCTGGAGAGGATATTGAATGGACGTGGAAGAAGTGGCGGGAATCCTGGTAAGTTTTTCATTAAAACATTGAAAATTATTCTATTCGATATCTTCTTATTGGCGATACAAGATCATTACTTAGTTCTCCATTTAAAGTCGACATTGCGATAAGAACAATCATTCAAATCATCACATTATATTTCTGTTGTTATTGTGTGATTGATAAAAATATGTTTATTACAGAAATAGGAACTAATACTTTAAATGAAGGTTCAGAAATGATGAGCGCATCCAGAAGGGCAGGCATGTACAATGTCAATAACAGACGACAGGGGGTTCTTCCAATCGGGATTACTTCCAGACGCGGAGGAATGTACAACGCCAACGGCAGACGACAACGACCGTGTAAACGAAGATGGTGGAGAAGATGCTAAAACGCACTCAAACCAGGGGGTTATTTTCAATTTTGACATTAATCGTAATACTAGTCTATGATTTGAATTCAAAGGAATTCATGTTTATTCATCACTTTTCTTGAAAAAGCTGATTCCTTTATAAATTGTACCTTTTTACAGATATATTCTACTATAGAACATGTACATACATGTATATTTCTTCACATATGACAGTGAAACTGGATTTGTGTGTATATTGCATTTAATAGTGGTGTTGAATTAAACAAGATAAATAAAATGATAGCTTTTTCCTCAGGTATTTTCATTTTTTATGCCATAGAGTCTGATACAGAGCTCTTCTTGTAAATGCATAAGTTTAAGGATATTCATTTTTTTTATTTTGCTGTTGTCAGAAATAATTATTGTTATAGTCAGTGTATACTCGTATATGTGTAAACATAAATGTAAACAACGGGGATTAACCTACACTGTATACTAAATGATAAAATTCGGGGTAAACAAACCATAAGATGGATAAGATATAAAATTCACTCAGACACTGATATAGAACTGAACCAGAGTGTGAACCTGAACACAACATTTGTTACTTCCTCTATGACCGACAACACACTTATTTAGAAATGGAGAGAAAGTTACTTTGTTTTTTCATGATGTTCTTGTTGTGTGGACTTAGTCGATCCACCAATTTACGGACCTCGTTCAGGCAACAACATTTAAATCGAGTCGCTTTACAAAATACAGAAGACATTGTTTGTAAGTATACCAACCAAATTCTTTACATGTATTTATACAAATTCATTTCTGATTTAATTCATTAGAGACCAAAATATTTTGAAAAAAAAATATCATTAGAAGAATACATTCTGAACAATACAGTTTACAATATTATTTCCGTTTTTTTTTTCACATTCGAGTGAAGTCTGAAAAGTGAATTTGATCTTGAAATAAATCATACACAAACTGCTTTCAGTGGCCGGTGAATTACTGAGTTTGAGTGACGGTGCTATGACATACGACACATCCGTACTCGGAAGAATGAAGAATGAAGAGCACCAAAGACGAAGGAGAAATGTCCGAATAACAACCAAATCCAGACGCGGAGGACTCCACAACACCAATGGCCGACGTCCACGACCGTGTCGGCGCAGGTGGTGGAGAAGATGTTAAAACAGAGTTATACTTTAATGATATCCCAACAGTTGAATAAATTTTGCAAGTTCTGTAAATCAGTGGTCATATTTGGAGAGGTTTTTTTTTTATGTAGACATCATCGTTTTGAAAATGTAACAGAGCAGTAAAGAAAAGATGGAATTCACATGGCGTTAGCTGTTTTATTGAATGAAGTATTAAAAACATTGACCTAGTATAATATTGTTTATTTCTTGTTTAACGTTCCTCTCGAGTATTTTTCACTCATATGGAGAAGCCACCACTTGCTCGAGGGGGACTCTAATGACTTTATACCTATACATGTAAACGACACTCAGGGTCATTGCGCGGTGAGGGATCTTTTTCAACAACTCTTGCGACATGCGATCTCGATTTATACATGTTATAGGTCTCAATCGAAGGACACACCTCCACGTCCCGCTGTGTATTCGAACCCACGACGTAAGGATCAGCTCCTTATTCCGAGACTTTAGTGCAGAAGCTCTAACCACTGCGCAACCTCGGGCGATTTGACCCACGAGCATAATAAATTCAAAGAATAAATTAGAAAAAATACAAATAACATATAGTTTATAGACTTTGAAAATAATGTGTCGTTAATGCAACATGCTAGTCTACTCAAAATGAACGTTGAACTTATCAATAAATATAAGAATTCAACTGAATATCCAAAGAAGACTTCATTTGTAGAGCCCCCCCCCCCCCCCCGAGTTTTACGGACTATTAAATGACATAGGCTTATTATATAGACAACAGTACATCCCGTCCTAATTCAAAATAACATTCAATTCAAAACAACGTTGAATCAGTGCTTGTCTAACTGTTCAAAAGTTATGACCAAGGTGTAAGTTTTTAAAAAGTGGGTCAATTTCTTAGGTCAAGGTGAAAAGGTCAAAAATATTTATACTAGCTGAAAGGTCTTGTCACAATAAGTACACATTTGAAATATGAAAGCTCTAACTCTAACTGTTCAAAAGTTATGTCCAAGATTAGTGTGGTATTGATTTTTGTAAAAGTAGGGCAAACTCCAGGGTCAAGGTCAAGAAGTCATATTTGATGGTACTGGAAAGGTCTTGTTACAAGAAATACATAGATGAAATATAAAAGCCATAGCATCACCACTAAATATATATAGGCTAGATTAAAGTTGACAACAGACAGACAGGAGGAAAACAATATACTCCCGGGATCTTTCGATACCAGCCCATAAAAAAGAGGCATTCCATAACGACAAAACATATGAAATAAATAGTAGCTCTACAGCATAAGGAATGAGACGTGATTTGCAGCAAATGAATAAAACCGGTTGTTTTAAAAAAATTATTACAAATCATTTAGAGAAAGTTCATGGGGTCTTTCATTATTTATCATTACGGCCTATCTAAACACTCAAGTAGCCTTAAGTGGCTTAGGCGTCTTCATCTTAAATGAGGCACCATACTTCTCATCAAAGAAAGCTTGAATATTGTGGTGGCAGAGGATAGTTTCGAATAAAGTACCGGTCAAAAAATAGAAAAAATAGAGAAACCTGAGGTTTGAATGCATATTATAGGTAATTTTATACCTAGAATATTTGATGGGTGCATTTGGAGGGAATTGGTGGCCTAGTATATTTTATTGAAATATGACACTTTAGTGTCACTACTACTGTATATGGGATATGGACTAGAAATACGAAACTAAGCTCAAAACTCGCTCTACCGGTATTTCACCAGAAAAGCGGGGTGGGTTCACAGGATGAATTGTAGCTTGAAAACGAGGTGGTTGAGCCATTATCTCTTGCTGTTCATTGGTATGTACAAATGTTATTCTGCAATTTGTGTGGTAGCTTAGGTCAGGTGCACGGGCCTGGAAGCAGATGCGGCTGCGGCGAAATAGTCAAAATAGGCTTGATTCACATGAAATTTTGAGATTGTCCCTGCGCCATCTTTAGGGCTCATTGTGTAAGTTGTACATGTTTTATTCCTAAAAGCTTCAAATTTCTCAAGGGACTACATCATACTATTATAACATGTAGAGGGAATTTAAAATTTTTCAATGCACATTTTTAAAGCAGCTCAATATTAAGTAAACCATCAGTCAAACGTTTTGATTGCAAAAAAAACTATCCTCTGCCACCTTCAAGAATGCATCAATTTTTAGATATGTGAATTTAAGTCTGAATTTTATACAAAAGGGTTTATTCATGTAAGTCAATTTAAAAAAATACTTTGTTTCTGTTATTTAAAATCTGTACAGTTAGGTATATTCACTAAAAAGCAAGGGGGGTTACTCTTTTCCAGCAAACATTTTTAAAGACTTTGAACCATCAGCATGATAAATCATATAAGATTCAGGAATTTTTTTGCCAGAGAATAAATTGATTGTTTGAATTTGATATTTTGGATATTGTCGCATAATTAAAATAATGTCTTGCTTTAATTAATTAAATCTAATTAAAATTTAAGTGTATTAATTAGTGCGATATCACTGAAATTACATATATTTGCCATTTTTTCAACCTAATTTACTAAATATAATTATTTTGAAAATAAAAATCAGTCAGCATACCTAAATGTCACTACACCTAACCATATATAGTACCAAAAAAAATTTTTTTGCTTTATTTTTCCAAATTTGACCTATTCTGTTATTGATATTTTCATAAAATATGCCCCCCCCCCCACCCCTTTTCAATTCTTAAATTTATCTATATTTAAATGTGACAGAATCTAAATTTTTCAATGGTTTGCAATATAATGACTTTTTTCTTTGAATAATAACAAAACAAAGAGTTTATATTGCATATTTAATGAAGTAATATCAATAAA